TACCAAGGCCATAATGCTCCATATATTGTTTTATTATTTCAGTGGAGTGCCAATATCTTGTATTACTGGAGATGCTTGAACGGTCAGTTTCCGGGTTAAAAGCAGTGTTAAAATCACCAGCGATAATAATATTTGTTGAGTTGCAGTGAAACCTGTTTGGTCTGGGTGGGTTACTACTGGAGTGACTGTTTCTATTCTAGTGGCTAGTGCTTTGGTAATGATTTTTCTCCAACTATCACCATGTCCATAATGCTCCATATATTGTTTTATTGTTTCAGTGGAGTGCCAACATCTTGTATTACTGGAGATGCTTGAACGGTCAGTTTCCGGGTTAAAAGCAGTGTTAAAATCACCAGCGATAATAATATTTGTTGAGTTGCATAGAGATGAAAAAATTATGAAAAAAGGATGAATCATCGTTATTGGGGCAGTATATGTTCACAAGTGTATATGTTGTCTGGTTAATGGATACCTTAATAATTATAAATCTGCCTTCTGGGTCGGTGATAGATGTATTATGAATTAATGGGATATTTTTATCAATTAAAATTGAGACACCTCTTTGCCTACTGTTATATGTTGATGAAAATATTTGGTTAAATTGTTTACATTTAAGGTTTTGTGATTCTGGATTTGTTAGATGGGTTTCTTGTAGAAAGCATATATCAGCATTTAATTTTGTCACATGGTTAATGATTTTAAATCTCTTAACCTGGATCCAGAATCCACGCACATTCCATGACACTATTTTAAGGTACTGAGTGATTGTTTGTTATAGATATCTGTTCGTAAGATGAAAGGAGTGAAGACGTGGGAAGGAAGAGAAAAAAAAGAGGATTAACAGGATCTAGGGTTGATGCATGTGTGTATATGTATGTGTGTTAGTGTGTGGATGTGGGCATAACAGTACAGAAAAACATAGACAAGTATACATTTCCACATGGTGTGATGAACAAACAAAAACGCAGAATATGACAGAATAACAGAGTAAAAAAAGGTTCGCCGATGCAAGAGATGGTTGTAGGAGTTTGTGTGGGATAGGGGTTGCTCTGTGTGTGGATGTAAGGGACTTCTGTCTCAGAGAGTAATGTTTTAAACAGACAAATTAAATGCTATGGTTCCATATGGCCTGAAAGATTCAATGTACAGTATTTCTAATTTTCAGCCATTTTAACAAAGATTCAAATAAATTTTAATCTTTTGAAAAGTACAAATGGAAGTTAAAAGTTTAATCTACAGTAGGGCAAACTCATCACCAGTGAGCCATGGGTGTCCATGACCATGTCTCCAGTTCACCATTTGTCTTTCCTTAGACACTGTTGTAGGTACTAACCACTGCAGACCAACAACACCCACCAAGACCTGTAGTGTGGGAGATGCTCTGACCCAGTCATCTCACCATCACAGTTTGGCCCTTGTCAAAGTCACTCACATTGTTATGCTTGCCCATTTTTCCTGCTTCCAACACATCAACTTTGAGGACTGAATGTTCACTTGCTGCCTAATATACTCCACACACTGACAGGTGCCAGTGTAACAGACAGTCAGTGTTATTCACTTCACCTGCCAGTGGTCAGAATGTTATGCCTAACCGGTGTATGATGCAATTTCTTTTTTGTGATTGATTTCTTTTTTTACTATGAAGTGCCCCCTTTCTTCTTGACTTTGTCTTGGGAAAGTAACAGAAGACGTTTTTTAAGGCAGAGCACCCAGCTGTGTTTCAGTGCAGGAGAAGAACACCTGTTTATTCTAATATGGGTAATGAATTGAAACAATTTTTGTTTTAACAATTTTTTTGTATCATTTTTTTATTTTAGGTCTTGCTGGTGTTGTGACATCCTTGTATTTATGTCTCTATTACAATATCATCAATGCATGGAGTTTCTGGTACCTCTTTCATTCATTTCAAGTGAGTTGGCAACCTTTTTCCATTGACATCATAGGAGTACAAAATGTTGCATCTCTTTTGGGCAGAAGGGTAACAAACCTATACAATTCTGTGTTCATTCCCTTCCCAGTCAGCCTTGCCCTGGGCAGACTGTCCCATCAATTCAAACAGGACAGGACCTGTAGAGGAGTGTGAAATGGCTACACCCACCCAGTACTTCTTCTACAGGGAAACACTAGACATTTCTTCTTCTATTGAAGAGAATGGAGATATTCACACAGGCCAGGCACTGTGCCTCCTGCTTGCATGGGTGATTACGTACCTGTTCATTATACGAGGAATAAAGTCAACTGGAAAGGTAAGAGAGCCCCAGTACACTTAGATTACAAATACTGGGAGCATACACATTCACAGGTATTCCTAATTTTATATGGTCAGGTCTGTTCTGCCAAGTGCAACTGTCGACGTTTAAAAGAAGTAATTTAAAAGACTGTGTAACATGCAGGTATTTTTCTTTTGGTCAGGCTAGAGGGATGATAGTGGGGATATGATGAAGTTATCTAATACATGTAACATTTTATAACTTGCGAACCCAAATGCAGACCAAAAAGTAATTTTGGTGATGAGTGAACAGTGCTTTTATAAAGGGTGGGCCACAGAAAAATAGCCCCATGTACTCGAGAGCATGGCACCGGTATTGGAGGTGGGCTACTTTTCCATGGCTCACCCTGTAGTATTAAATAAGGAACAAAATACAGGCATTTAAGGAAGAATGGCAGGCACATGTAAGATTAGTAATACAATGTCATTAAATGGCTGATTCAGGTAAATACACAACACAGGTAATAACACTGGCTAAGGTAAGTACAACAGCAGGAGTGGAAGCGCAGGTACAGTGAATTCAGAGAGTATTCAGATGTATTTATTTTTTGCACATCTTAGTGTTGTGAATTCAATTTTGCATGGATACCCATGATGACAAATTGAAAATATGGTTGTACAGTTGTCTGAAAACTCATCAAAAACTGAAATCTCTTACTGTCAAAATTATTCAAACTATTCAGTACTTTGTAGCAGCTGTTCTGACAGCAATTACAGCTGCAAGTCTTCTCAGATATGTCTGAACAAGCTTTGTACAACTCAATTTGGGCAAGTTATCCCATCATCGAAAGAAATGAGCTTTCTCTGCAGGGTGGCCGGGTGCACCCTTAGAGATAGGGTGAGGAGCTTGGTCACCTGGGAGGAGCTCAGAGTAGAACCGCTGCTCCTCCACATCGAGAGGAGCCAGCTGAGGTGGCTCGGGCATCTGTTTCGGATGCCTCCTGGGCACCTTCCTAGGGAGGTGCTCCGGGCATGTCCCACCGGGAGGAGGCCCCGGGGAAGACCCAGGACACGCTGGAGGGACTATGTCTCGGCTGGCCTGGGAACGCCTTGGCATTCCCCGGAGGAGCTGAAGGAAGTGTCTGGAGAGAGGGAAGTCTGGGCATCTTTGCTTAGACTGCTGCCCCCGCGACCCGGTCCCGGATAAGCGGAGGAAAATGGATGGATGGATGGATGGAT